GGGTGTACAGACCCGGGAACTCAGCACAGGGATGGTGAGTTTAAGGCCCCTTTCACACCAGGGTGTTCCCTTGTGCGTTTTGTTTCCGCGGCTGAAACGCATGCTAATCTAAATCCCATGTATTCCAATGGGGCGCCGTTCACGCACACGTGCTGAGTCGCGTGTAACAATACGCCCGTTGTTTAAAATAGTCCCTGAGCGTCTGTTGTGGCCATTATCAGCTCGTCTTGCTCTAGAGACTTCAATGGAAAACGTGCCCGATCAGCGTGTTTTTGTGCTTTGTCGCACATGTGACCAGAAAGCACGCTGAAACGCTCATGGAAGTTGCGACACGCTGCGGCCCCGGTGTGTGAATGGGGAAGAATTCCATCCGAGGGACATCTCCGGGTTATTTCTACTGCAATGCTGACATCTAATGGGCACCAGAGGTAAGCACACGGGTCATCATGTGAAAGTATTCCGTGTACATGTGTATATCAATGAGAAGACACGCCAAGGTGCATCGCTAACATCATGTGTTGTACATACCTAGTCATGTACATGTGTATGTGTCTGATACGTGTGATTGTTTCCAGCATTGTGTGTGTGAAGATTACAATGTATCACCCGGCCGGTGATGTCAGACAATGAGGGGTGACCTCAGAGCTCAGCTTGTCTATTGTTCTATACACAGACAGTATACGGCGTATACCCCATCATCATATGTCATTGTACACGGCTCATTCCTCACCCTGTGACTGCGACATGTACAGTGATACCTCTTCCATGTCTGGTGGTAAGATGGAGGATTCTTCATTCCTTCCTCCTTCATTCCTTTATTCCTCCATTCCTACCTTCCTCCATCCCTCCCTCCCTTCCTTCAATCCTCCCTTCATTCCCTTCTTTCTTCCTCCCATCCTTATGGATGGGGTAGAGGTTGGTGAGCTCCGGGGTTGTGGCCAGCAGCATGACAAATGGGTAAGGGTCATGAGAGAACTGGCGATGTCAAGCGGCCCTCATGATTAAGAAAAGTCATAGGAGAGGGCCATGGCAGATAAGGAAGGGTCATGGGAGAGGAAGGGCCATGGCAGATGAGGAAGGGTCATAGGAGAGGAAGGGGCATGGCAGATGAGGGAGGGGCATGGGGTGCAGATGAGGAAGGGTCATAGGAGAGGAAGGGCTATGGCAGATGAGGAAGGGTCATAGGAGAGGAAGGGCTATGGCAGATGAGGAAGGGTCATAGGAGAGGAAGGGCTATGGCAGATGAGGAAGGGTCATAGGAGAGGAAGGGCTATGGCAGACGAGGATAGGTCATGGGAGAGGAAGGGCCATGGCAGATGAGGAAGGGTCATGGGAGAGGAAGGGCCATGGCAGATAAGGAAGGGTCATGGGAGAGGAAGGGCCATGGCAGATGAGGAAGGGTCATAGGAGAGGAAGGGTCATGGCAGATGAGGAAGGGTCATGGGAGAGGAAGGGCCATGACAGACGAGGAAGGGGCATGGGAGAGGAAGGGTCATGGCAGATGAGGAAGGGTCGTGGGAGAGGGTCATGACAGATGAGGAAGGGTCATGGGAGAGGAAGGGCCATGACAGATGAGGAGGGGTCATGGGAGAGGAAGGGCCATGGCAGATGACGAAGGGTCATGGGAGAGGAAGGGCCATGACAGATGAGGAAGGGTCATGGGAGAAGAAGGGCCATGGCAGATGAGGAAGGGTCATGGGAGAGGGCCATGGCAGATGAGGAAGGGTCATGGGAGAGGAAGGGCAATGGCAGATGAGGAAGGGTCATGGGAGAGGAAGGGTCATGGCAGATGAGGAAGGGTCATAGGAGAGGAAGGGACATGGGGGGGGGGGGGGGGGC